AAAAAAAAAAAGGCAGCTCAAAGTTGCGGCTGAGCTCAAACATCCGTTGGCTCTGTTTCGGCCGAGACGCGCTAAAATTCGATGTTAGGTTGTTGGACGAGACGCGAAAGCGGAAACCAACACTCGGCCGCAGCGCCTCTCGAGTCGCGTCACGAAAACTCGAGCCCAAAGAGCCAGTTAACACCACGGACATCCCCAGTAGTGCCAGGCTGGGAGGCCAAGGCGCAGATGGCTGGCGCACGCTGCTGCCACGGTTCCTGAGCCAGCGTGCCTGCCAGCTGCATCATCCAACTCGAACGCCGTCCTCCCTTTGATCCTTCATCCGCTTCTTGTTCCACTGGTCCCACTTGTCCGCTCGCTTCGTCACTCCGCCACTCCTTCGTTCCGCTCAGTCTCTTCCTTTCCAAATTGGTTGCTACGGCAAGACGAGACACCACCACAACCGCACGCACGCGCGAGCTCGCTTCGCCAACGCGCCATCACCATGAGCGCCGAGAAAACCATCTTCAAGGTAAGTGCTCTCTCGCCTCATCGTTGCGTTGCCGTCTCGGCTGCCACCGCAGACAATGCTGACCGACCGCTCCTCTTCCTCGCAGGCCACCTACTCGGGCGTGCCAGTCTACGAGTGCATCATCAAGGACGTCGCCGTCATGAGGAGACGCTCCGACAGCTGGCTCAACGCAACTCAGATCCTCAAGGTCGTCGGCCTCGACAAGCCGCAGCGCACGCGTGTCCTCGAACGCGAGATCCAGAAGGGCATCCACGAAAAGGTGCAGGGCGGCTACGGCAAATACCAGGGCACATGGATTCCCCTCGACATCGCCATCGAGCTCGCAGAGCGCTACAACATCCAGGCGCTCCTCGCCCCCATCACCACCTACGTCCCCTCCGCCACCGATTCGCCCCCGCCCGCTCCCAAGCACACCATCTCCACATCCAACCGCTCCAAAAAGGTGCTCTCCGCAGACGCAGGCGCCCTCGGCCGCTCCCGTCGCGCCACCAGCATCGAGACCGAATCCGAGGCCATCGGCGCCACCCAGAACAACGCCTCCGAGGGCAGCATGAGCCCCTCGCCCAGCGACATCAGCTCCTCCTCCCGCACACCGAGCCCCATGCCCGCCGATCGTGCCAACGGCCCTTACGGTGCACAGCAGGCGGCAGCGGCTCACCACAACGGCAGAGACGCCACCAACCAGGCGCGGTACGCCGACATCATCCTCGACTACTTTGTCACCGAGAACACCACCGTGCCTTCGCTGCTCATCAACCCTCCGCCTGACTTCAACCCGGACATGAGCATCGACGACGACGAGCACACCGCCCTGCACTGGGCGTGCGCCATGGGCCGCATCCGCGTCGTCAAGCTCCTCCTCTCGGCCGGCGCCGACATCTTCCGCGTGAACACCAACCAGCAGACCGCGCTCATGCGCGCCACCATGTTCTCCAACAACTACGACCTGCGCAAGTTCCCCGAGCTCTTTGAACTCCTCCATCGATCCATCCTCAACATCGACCGCAACGACCGCACCGTCTTCCACCACGTCGTCGACCTCGCCCTCAGCAGAGGCAAGCCGCACGCCGCGCGCTACTACATGGAGACCATGATCAACCGTCTCGCCGACTACGGCGACCAGCTCGCCGACATCCTCAACTTCCAGGACGACGAGGGCGAGACGCCGCTCACCATGGCCGCGCGCGCACGATCCAAGCGCCTCGTGCGGCTGCTGCTCGAGCACGGCGCCGATCCCAAGATCCGCAACAAGGAGGGCAAGAATGCAGAGGACTACATCATCGAGGACGAGCGCTTCCGATCCTCGCCCTCGCGCACCGGTCCCGCAGGCATCGAGCTCGGCGCCGACGGCCTGCCCGTGCTGCCCACCGCATCGCTCCACACGTCCGAGGCAGGCCAGCGCACCGCCGGTCGCGCCGTCACGCTCATGAGCAACCTCCTCCACAGCCTCGCCGACAGCTACGACTCGGAGATCCACACGGCCGACAAGAAACTCACCCAGGCGCACGGCTTGCTCAAGCAGATCCAGACCGAGATCGAGGACAGCGCCAAGGTGGCCGAGGGCCTGCACCACGAGGCTGAGGGCGTCGACGACGAGCGCAAGCGCGTCGACTCGCTCCAGCTCGCGCTCAAGCACGGCATCAACAAGCGCACACGCGACGACCTCGAGCGCCGCTGGGCCGAGGGCAAGCAGGCCATCAAGCGCGCACGTCTGCAGGCGGGGCTCGAGCCCGGTGCTCTCTCCTCCAGCTCGGCGGCCAACCAGCCTGATGGCACGGCGGCAGGCGATGCGGAGCACGAGGCAAAGAAGAGCCTCGACGCGCTGCCCGAGGGCAAGGACGTCAAGACGGCGATCGCCGAGCTCAAGACGCAGCTGGGTGAGGTGCAGAAGAAGCGCAGCGAGCTCGTCGACACGTTTGTCTCGCGTGCACGCGAGCAGGGCACGGGCAAGACCATGGCAGCCTACCGCAGGCTCATTGCGGCCGGATGCGGCGGCATCGCGCCCGACGAGGTGGACGCCGTCGTCGGCGTGCTCTGCGAGCTGCTCCAGGAGGGACATGCAGGCTCGGGAGGCGCTGGCACTACCGATGGCGCCTCGGGCGGTGACCGCGCGAGAGACGCTGCCATGATGCTCAAAGGTGCTGGCGCTGCGGCCCTCGCCGCCAACGCGGGTGCGGCCTGAGTTGTTATCAGCGCATCACTCGATTCTATTCTGTACTCTAGGTTCTCTTGTCGTAATGATCTCGTGTCTGCTTCCGCGATGTCTCTGAGCGAATCTGTGGTCAAGTGTCAATGAAGTCAGGAAAGCGGCCTGGTGGGGAGAAGGAGGAGGGACGGTGGTGGAGAGGGTCACGTGACGCGGCTCTGGGATTCCAGCTTGGCCGCGAGTCAATTTTGGACTTTTTGGTGAAGCACCACCATCCTTGTTCTCATCACCATCTTGATCGAGGCTAGAGCACGCAATCCATCGCCAAGGGGGATCGACAAGATGCTGCGCCGGACACTAGCACTATTTGCGGAGGCGACGCGATCGTCGTCCAAGGCGTCGAGCTCTTCGGATGTGCTCACGTCGCACTTTGCCAAGTCGTCGCTGCCTCCTACGCTGGCAAGGAGTGCGCAGCCGCACAAGAACCTGTACCAGCTGCTCTCGACGTTGCCGCAGGACGGTGTAGGTGCGCGCGTCAGGCAGCGTCGCTGGGCCGCCAAGGGCCTGGATGTGCCGCGCGATGTGGATCTCAAGAAACACCTCGCACAGATGCACGCCAAGGGCGACAAGCCGCTCAAGGACGACGCCCATCTGTGCTACTGGGAGATCACCAAGGTCAGGTTGAAGGACGGCGGAAACCACGGAAAGGCATGGGGAAAACTCGTATGGAGAGGTAAGTTCTCGAAAGTAGTGTACGTGCAGGTCGCATGCGATCGCTGACAATCCTCATCTCCGCTAGGCAAAACCATCACCAAGGCCGAGACGGGCGAACGCATCCCCGGTGCACTCAAATACTTCTGGGCCCCAGCAAAGTGATGTTCTCCCTACACACTATCGATCTGGCCGTTGAAAAGAGGTGCTCGTGCTCAACACTTGACCGCATCTCATCACATGTACTATAGAACTGCTGCCTTCGCTCGTCGTGCTCGCGCGAACTTTGCAACCTGTCCCATTTCATCCCGAGACTGCACAGCGTACTGGCTCAGAACTAGATCGACCCTTTGGACGGCGAGCTGGTCATGACCATCAGCATGGGTCGAGAGCAGTGTCAAACGTCGGCGAGCGAGAAGGAATCGATCAATGCGATGAGAGGCACATGCAGTGAGTCTTCTTCGCCCGGCACCCTTTTTTCCCCGGCAGACTACCGAATTTCGTGCGCCTTAACAACGAAATCCGAACGCTTTTTTTGGACTCAGCTTCGGTTGGGGCGGCGGCGGCGGGCAAAAGGGTCCGACTTCCTCCACACGCTCTGCGAAACAGTCGCGACACGCGCCTTAGCCAGAGCCGAGTGCAACCCTCAAGCTTCGAGCTTCCTCTCTCTGCTACCATCTCGACCCAACACGAACAACCAGCCTCTACGTCGCACCCCGTCCCCCAGGCGGGCAGGAAGCGGCGACGAACAAGCCACACCATGCCATCCCATTCCTCCTCGCATCCGAACGCCAGACACGCCTCGCCGTCCACGAGCAGCTCCGTGAAACCCACTGGCTGGATCAGGTCGTCGTCTGCCACCGCAGGCTCGGCGACGAAACCGCGCGTACGTGTGCTCTCGGATCGCACCAACTTGCCGTCCTCGAGCCATACGCCGCTCAAGTCGCTGCAAAAGCCGCCAACCAAGACGCTGGTGGCATCGCGACTCGCAGGTCAGACGCGCACGCCCGCACCGTCAAACAGCACAAAACAGCAGACTCTGTCTAGATTTTTTGCGCCAAATACTGCCCCCGCCGGCCCATCAAAGAGCACCACACACGCGCAAACATCCTCGCCGAGTTTGGATCGGCCGCGCCTAAGCTCCTCGGACACCAGGGGTGCCGCCAGCCGCCTGCGGATACCACCACCCGAGCCTCGAAGCGCGAACAACGACACTTTCAACGACGCTTTCAACGACGACGATCTGGAAGCACGCGCGGCCTGTCTGCTTCGCGGTCGCTTCGGCAGCGTCTCTCGCTCCCTCAGCACCAGCACGTCTTCGACACCCCCAGCGACCGTGTCGCCACCCACACCACCGTCCGATGAGCCTCCACGGTCGCCACGCGTCCAAACACGGTCTCGAGTCGAGCACGTACGTCCGCCAAGATCAATGCTTCCGCCCGCTGAGCCGCGGACCCCGCCGCGCAAACGTCCGCAGCCAAACCCGCCGTCGTCTCCGTTTCAGCCCACACTCATGGCCGAGTCGCTCTCCAACTTTACGCCCCCCGCATGGGCCAAAAGCATCGACCGCAAGTTAGCGCTGTTTCAGCGCATGGCTGGTATCCAAGACGACGTCGTTCGCGAGCAGGAGAGGCGGCAGATGGAGAATGAGCTGGACAGAGCACATCAGAGAATGCAAGGGTCCTCGCCGGCCGCAGCCAAGAGCAAAAGACCACCGACGTCTCGGCAACGCACCAGCTTGGCCAAGCAGAGTGAGGCAGCGCCAACAGGGCGCGTGTCGACGAGGTCCGAGCAGATGCCTGAAACACTGCTCAGATCGCCCGTGACCAATAGGAGGATCTATGCGCTCGAGACGCAGCTTATGCCCGTGAAGCGTGCGGCCTTACAACCTGCATCGAGGGCGGACAAGAATGCGTCCGAGGTGGTCCAGAATCAGCCGCTGTGCGCGCGTACAGATCCGTTCGTGGCAGAGTCAGCAGATGCGACGCAGGACGAGTCGGAAACGCTGCCCTTGGCTTGGCCGGCGGAGGGCGACGACGAGACACAGCCTCTTGCATGGGACGACGCCGACGAAGAAGCTGCCCAGATCCCGACGGAAGCTGTGCAGCTCTCGAACCCCATTGGCAGCGCTGGCGAGGTGCCCACTTCGGACGACGACGATTTCCTCACCGAGCCGGGCGTGGCGCTGGACGCTGCGCATGACAGCACGTCTGTATCCAAACGGCGGCGGGTGGATACCCAGCGCATGGCAAAGCCGAGCCCCGTCTCGCTCACGTCGGCAAGTGGGGCGGGCCGGTTCGACAGCGTCGTTGCGGCACTGCGCCGACAAGAACGCAGGCAGAACTCGGGCATGCAGCTCAGCCTCGATCGGTACGTCACCAAGCCCACCTGCAAGCTCGACTCGGATGACGACCTCGACGTCCTGTCGGATGACGAGGCGGGAGACGAAACCCAGCCTCTGGAGTGGGCGACACCCGTCAAAAGACCGACACTGCAGCTGGCATCGTCCCCGGCTGCGGCAACACAACTCAGCACCAGCTCCGGTGCGAGCACGAGTGCGAGCGAGATCAGTCTGCCGAGTCAGACGGCGCTCAACGACGCGGATACGCAGACACGCACTTTCTTCGAGCGGCTCTGAAAGAAATTCAATGCATTTTTTTGGCAAGCGTGGTCAGAGGATGGAGCCCAGGATCATGGCTTTGGCTCGCGAGCCGGCGGGCAGCGAGCGGACCGTGGCGTTGGGCGCGAGCGGCGGAAGCGCGATGAGCGCGTTTGCTGTTGACATGCTGTGCATTCCTCTGTGTATCCAAAAGAAGAAGGTGAGTTTCATGCAAAGTATTGGGTGAGTTTGGTGGTAGCGGGCGTTGACTTACGAGGAGCGTTGGTTTCCCGTGCTTGTGGCGACCAGACCGGTGGCGCCGGTGCGTACCGAGGCGCGGTGGAACTCGGCGCGCGAATCGAGCCGCATCTCGCTGCCCAACACCACATCCACCTGCGGCAAACTCCACGCATTCGCGCCCGAGCTGGTGGGCAGTGTGCCCGAAAGCTTGCGCAGAGCGGGCAGCACAAACACGTAGAACGTCACGAGTGCAGAAGCCGGATTGCCCGGCAGCGCAAAGATCATCTTGCCCCCCGGAAGCGTGGCGAACGTAGTCGGTTTGCCGGGCTTCATGGCGACACGGCCGAATACAATGTGGCCGTGAAGCTCGCGTTCGATGAGCGGCTTGAGCAGGTCCGACTCGCCCATGCTCGTGCCCCCCGTGGTCACGATCACGTCTGCGCACTCCATGCCTCTTCGAAGCGCAGCCAGCGTGGTGGGCACATCGTCGGTCACAATGCCAAGGTCCACCACCTCGAATCCAAGACCGGCAATGGCTGCGTGCAGTCCGGGTCGATTGGCGTCGTACACGTTGAATCCCCACGTAGACGAGGTGGGGGCAGAGCTGGTGTCGACCAGCTCGTTGCCCGTGCTGAGGATGGCGATTCGTGGCTTGCGGTACACGAGCGCCGAGGAGCGGCCAAGGAAGGCGAGTGTACCGTTCTCGCCGCCAAGCGCACTGATCGCCGTTCCCCGCGGTAGCACTACTTGGCCTGCGGAAACGTCCGAGGCGCGTGGGCGGACATTCTCACCCACGTCAACCTGGGCAAGCACCCGGACGCGCACCTCTTCGCCGTCGGAAGACTCGAGCAGCTCGGTGTCTTCGACCATAACTACAGCATCGGTACCTGCAGGAAGGCCCTGCCCCGTGTTGATGCGGAAGATCTCGCCGTCTGCCAGCGCGCGTTGCTGCAGCGTTTTAAGCGTGACCACCTTGTAGTCGCCCGGTGGGGTGGAGGAGGCGGGTACAGCGTAGCCATCGACATTAGTGGTTGGACCAGGCGGCAGGTCCGAGGCTGCCGAGACGTCTTCTGCCAGAACATGGCCGATGAGCGCTGGGCTCACGCCGATCGTCTCCGCGGCTGGTGCGCCCGGCGTGTGCTGAGCGATGAGCGACAGTGCGTCGTCGAGTTCGAGCAGCGGATACGGTGAGACGCGATGTCGGAGCGACGGACCAGACGAAGGGTCGACGGTGCGAAAGCTCGCATGGTCTGCCGGGGTCGTCCGTGGTTTGGGCGCAGAGTGGCTATGGAGACCTCCGCCTCCCCCACTGTGATGATGATGATTATGATGGTGGTGGTGGTGGTGGTGGGAGTGCGCATGGCCGGTATCAGTGGCGGTGTCGGCGTGCCTATGCATGCTTCCCTGCATCTGTTTGTGCTTGGACTCGCCCGATCCGCCGCTCAGCAGCTCGAGCGCGTGCTGCAGTAGCCCGTTGGCGAGCAAGAGCTCCATGCACTCGTTGACTGCCTTGGGCGATCCAGGCAGTGCGACAATAAGCGTCTCCTTGCCGCTATCATCCCTCCTGATGCCCGTGACACCACGGGAGAGCGCAGCGAGCGGCGTCTTGGCGAGCGAGTGCGCGGTGAGTGCATGGGTGAGCGCGGGCGTCTTGCGCGTGATCAGCGGCTCGAGCGCCTCGGGTGTGGTGTCTCGACGTCCAAAGCCAGTGCCACCCGTGGTAATCACCAGGTCGAGGGCCTCGGCCTCGGCGAAGCTCAGAACATTACGCTGGATCTGAGCGATGTCGTCCGCGCACACGCTGCGCACGACTTGGTATCCAGCCGCGGTGAGATGCTCTTGGAGCAAGCTGCCCGATCGGTCAGCAGTGAGATCCGCCGCGGCGGTGTCCGAGATGGTCAGCACGCCGGCTCGGAACGAAGGCATGACTGCAAGTGTGATCGTCTGGTGCCTGGTGTGACGACGTGCAAGTGCGGCAAAAGCGGTGGGGAGGTGGAAGATGACGGCGGCACGAATGCAAAATGCAGACGCACGAGCCTCCACGTCTTAAATTGGCGCGCTTCTCAGGGTCTGCCTCGCGACCGAACAATACTTTGAGCGGAGGTATTCGGCCATCGATGCACGGATTGTGCAGCTGAGCGATGAAAATTGTGGTGATAGTTTCAGAGTACAAGGCGGGTGGTGGACAGAATACAAGATGCTAAGATCGATGGGTATAAAGATTGGGCGCGAGATGATCTTATGCAGGCAGAGGCGCTGACCATTCGAGATAGGTTGCAGGCACGAGGCCTTTTATGCTCGGGTCGTGGCTGCTGATCGCGATTGCCCAGCCGCCTTCTATGGATCCTACGACGTGGACGACATCACCGGGCTGCACGGCGAGTTCGTGTTCCGAGACGGGCTCGAACTCGTACAGGACGTTGTAGATGCCCTCGGGCACGCTGGCGGAGTCGCCCTCGTCTCCGTCAAACTCGTTCTCGTCCTCGGCACCCTCGATGTAGAAGTCGTGGCCGGCGGTGTCTTCTTGATGGCTCTGGTCCGCGTCGTGCGCATGAGACGAGTCTTGAGGTTCGTCGAGCCAGACACCAAAATGGCGCGGATCGTCGACTGGGAATGCAAAGTCACGCACTTTGATGCTGGGCTCCGACTCGGCGTGCGGAGGCATGGCCTTGGCAGTGTGGTGGCTGCCACTCGAGCTCGGGCGGTGCGCCTGCACGCTCGAGCGGGTGGTGGACTCTGGCTGGTGTTGGGGAGAAGCTGGTTCATGCGGCGCGTCGTCGGTGCCTTTGAGAGAAGCTGCGGCGGCTGCGTCTGTCGAGGATGGTGCCAAGGGCGACAAGCTGGCGGATGCAGTGCTGAGGCGGTGGTGTGAGCTTGCGGAGCCGGAGACGGGCCGGAGTTGAGGAGAAGCGAATGAAGTGGATGCCTGGGAGCTGCGCCGCGAGGATGCGCTTGCGATCTTTGCGGCAGTGTGGTCGGACGAAGGGAGCGATGGCGGGCGCGTGGGCGTCGAGGTGTTGGAGGCGGCGGCCGGACTGATTCCCGAGGCAGGACGGATGACGCCCTCGGCCACGGGAGAGAGGGGGCGGGGCGAGGCAGATTGTGGGGATGCGGTGGATGGTGCTGAGACGGCGGTAGATGAGGATACAGCGGCAGCGGCAGCGGCTGCGGCGGCGGCTGCGGCCTGGATGTTGCGACCTGGTGGGGGAGGTTTGAGGCGCCAGTCCTGACCTTCTTCGGGCGAAGGAACGAAGCCACCGGAGGGGCTCGGATAGAGGGTGTCGGCGGGGCTAGGTTTTGGCGGAGCGACGGTGAGCGGAGATGGCTCGTTTGGCGAGTCTGCTAGCTGGGCGGATGCGGATGCGGATGCGGATGGAGATGCTGAGGGCTGCAGGTTGAGCGCATCGATGCCGTCGGATGAGAGCGGTGTGGAATTGACGCGGCTGAGTTCCGGGGTGAGGCTGGAAGCCGAGAGGAAGACGGCGTCGGCGGATTTGCGATCGTTTCTGCTGGATGCAGCGTCGGCGTTCGCATTGGCAGCTGATGGAGTCGAGGCAGGCAGAGCGAGGAAAGGTAAGCTTGGCTTGTCGAATGCATACCGAGGTATCTGCACTTACACTTGAGCCTGGCTTCTATAGACGGCATGCCGTTTGGAGCGGCGGACGCGGAGCTGAGGGATGCGCAGATGTGGATGTCCTTGGCGGAGATGTGGATGTGATGAGGGGAGAGCGGTCGAGTTGGATCATGGCGAGCCCAATCCCGCGGCGTCCAATCGGGCATGAACAGGACCAAACTAAACTGCACGACAGCCGCGTTGCATTCCGCCGCTGCTGCCGCTGCTGCTGCTGCTGCTGC